GGTGGATTGAGGGCAATGTAAGGAAGGTGGGGACCTTGTGGGTCAGCCGCGAGTGGTCCAAGGGGCAAACAGGGACAGCTGTGCTGCGAGGTTCAACCCCTGCAAGGCCAGAGGTGTCATTTGAGGATGGCTGTCGCCGTCAACAACAAGCAAGCGGGTAATATATACAGCATACTCCCGCTCTGCTGGCCCGGCTGCACCCATAACCAATCGGGACTGGCTGCAGCAATCCGGACCCCATCACCAATTGTGCCCACACCCACCTGCTTGGGGAAGGCCTTGATCTGGTTGAGGAAAATCTGGCCGTGCACCACAACAAACCGCTCCACGCGGTCGCGGTTCTTGGAGATGAACAGGGGGCTGCCCTGGGGCTCCTCTGCCAGGCGCTTGATGGCGTCGGCAAAGCTCAAGCGGCTGGCACGCTCAGCCTCGGACAGCAGGCCAATCACCTTGACCGCCAGGCGCGCGGCCTTGAGCGGCACGCGGAACCAGGGCGCATACTTGGTGGAGGGCCTAGAGAGCGGGAGGAGGGGTCGGGCAGCGGCGCGAATGCAATTTGAGTATGATGCAAGTGAAGCATTAGAACATTGAGCCCTCCTGACAATCAGCCTGCCTGACACCACGAAGAAAGTGGGTGGTGTGCATAGGTGTGTACTGGGGTGCCGCGTATGCTCGGTGTGTGTGTGTGTGTGTGTGTGTGTGTGTGTGTGTGTGTGTGTGTGTGTGTGTGTGTGCGCGCATGCAGGAACACATGTGTGCGGGTTTACATGAGCTCTGAGTGCGCGCTGCAATGATGGTGTGGGGCACTGCCGCATCACTGATCAAAGCAACAATGTGCTGGCTGGTTAGCAGCTATATAAAGCATTGGAAACCCGCCATGCAAGTCTAGAAGACTAACTGCAGGCGGACAGACAATGACGTGGCCACCTTGCACCCGTCTCCGCGTGGTCGAATCATCGTGCTCAAAATCAACCCCGGGTGGGCCCAGCACGCGTTCGTCACTTTATCTTTGCGCTTGGGGCAATGTCGCAGTTTATGAGGTCTAACCGAGACGCGACTATTGCTGGTTGAAAACTATTTCCAATCCCCCGCTAGACGACCTTCGGGTCACTAGCGAATTTCTGATCAGAGGGCGCCGCAAGGCTGTATCCCTCTACTTCCAATTCCTCCTGGTTCAAACCCAGGGGTCTGCCCAGTACCCTCTCACCTGCAAAGTCTGTACCAGCCAGCATCAGTGCGGATGGACAGGAACAGCTGGTCGGCACTGTACTCGACGACCCACTCGCGACATTGGGACAGGAACATGCGCGTGCCGCCCACCATGACGGGATCTGCAGGGGCAGCAGGCATGTCAGGGCCAGGCGCAGTGCCGCCACCAGAACCACTACCGCCTGAGCCGCTGCCGCCTGCACTGCTGCCGCCTGCACTGCTGCCGCCTGCACTGCTGCCGCCAGCTTCGGTCTCCTTGGCGGGGGCAGGCGCAGGGGTGTCCTCCTGGCCGAGACCTTGGCCGCCGACGCCCCAGTCCCCATCGTCGTCCTTGACCACGCCCGACACGAAAACCTCCTCGTCAGGGTCAACGCCGCTCCACATGGGCAGCAGCTCCAGCGTGGTCATAAAGCCCTGTGGGTGGAGATTCGACGAAAGACAGGTGCAAGTCAGTGCAAAGCGGCCAGGTGCAATCCGTGTGGGATGCGCCAGCCTCCTGAAACGTGGTTTGACGGTCCATCCCCAGTTGGTGGCCCTTGGCACCCATGCACCCTTGCATTGAGCACCCTAGCATCCCAGCACATGGCTTCAGCAGTGACGCACCAGCCTGCGGCGCTTGCAGCCAAACACCCTTCATCTAGCCACACAGGCTGGTCCCCTCACCTCTGCGTTGTAGACTGAAAAATCGGTGACGAGGCGGCGGGGCAGGGCGTCGGGGTCAAGCTGCGCCAGCTCCTCATCCCAGAGCAGAGCCAGCTCATCCTCCTCGTCATCTTCCTGAAAGTGTAGTGGTGAGGTATAAAAAGCGTTGCGCTAATTTGTCTGCAGGTTGCTGGGCGGCTGGGGGACTGCTGGATTGTTTGCGCACTGCTGGGCTGTTTATGCGCTGCTGAGCTGTTTGTGCTCGGACGGCGGCCACCGCAAAAAAACAGGTAGCAAGCAGTAGTTCAGCATGCTGAGTCAGCAACAGCCACGAACCTTTTCATACTGCTTGGGCATGGGGTAGTCATCGGCAATCTCCTCCTCAGAGATCTTGATGTAGGCGGCAGCTGCCGCTGCGCTGGCGCTGCCACGGCCCCTGCATTGCACCGGAAGAGCAGCGCAACACACAGTTTTGCATGTCAGCAGCTGCAAGTATGAAACTGTATAAACACGCAACACATATGCACGACCGCTGCAAGCGCGCTGTCACGCTGCGAGTGCGACATTTTCAAGCAACCCGGCAAGCGCGCAAGCTGCAAGCACCCTAGCGCGGCGCACCTGTTGCCACCGCTGCTGCCATACGCCTGCGCGTCCATCTGCGCCTGCAGGCGGCGCGCCATCTCCTCGTCAGCTGCCATGGCGTCATCTGCAGGTGCCGCTGGGGAAGTGGCAGCACCCCCGTTGTCGGCAATCTTGATGCCGCCACCCGCCGTCATGAGCGTGCCCACAGCCACAGGGCCCTTGGCCAACTGGGTTAAGGCAGGGTAGGCATGTGGGAGGGCGCGCAAGAGGGATTTATTTGAAATTGATCACAGCAGGCGCACGTACGCACAGGCCGCCTGCCTCCTACATGCGCACCCGTCAGGCGTGCGTTCCCTCGACCACATGCCCCCCGTGAGCCCAAGCATCTCCCCTGAGTTTGAACACCAGCACGCGCCCCTGTGCACGCACCTCAGCCTCAAGGCCCTTGTAGAAGGCCCACTCGGTGGCGCCAGCGGCGCCCTTGCCCTTGTCCTTGCCGCTGGGCGCCGCGCCCCGGCGCGCCCTGTCGGCAGCATCAAGCTGGCGCAGGATGAAGCGGCCGTTGAGAAGCAGCGCCTCTCGCGCAGATGCGTAGCCCTTGTACACCGCCTTGAAGCGTGCAAGGCGCGACACAACCTCGTCAAACGTTGCCGCGGCGTTGCCATTCAATGCTGGATCAACCGCCTGGGCGTTGTTGCATGAGGGGAGCAGGGTGTAGCTTGAGCATGTGGTGGAGCATTTTGAGAGCATGAAGAAAAGTGTTGGTTAAAACAGGCTTGGATTGTGGGCCCAGCCCTTACGGTTGTTGAAAGTGCGCGATTCACCAGCACAAACCCCTCCCCTCCTGATTTTGCGCCTACGTGCCTTTCCACAATGCCCTGCAGCCACCCAGCGAGCCCGGCCCACCTGCATGACCTCCACAGCCAGCGTGGCCTGCGCCTGCAGCTCGGCCCACAGCTTCTTGTAGGCCTGCAGGGGACGCGAGAGCGTGTAGCAGCCCAGCTGCGTGGTCAGGCGGATGACAGGGCCAGTGGCTGCGCCGGTGGGGGGCGTCAATGACCAGCCCTTGATGGGGCCGAGGCTGTCGACGTGGCGGCCGAGCGGCTTGTTGAGGGGGCCCTCCTCCGGGTAGACCGCACCTGAAGAGGGGCGCAGGCGCGTGGGGGAGACCGGCTTAACGAGTGTTGTGGCATGGAGCTGAGGGGAGGGAGAGGGGAGTTTGGAGTGGGGGAGAGCTCAAGCTAGACGTTTCAAACTGGCAGGTTTACGTTAACGCGTGCCCAGCCAGGAGCCAAAAAATGGCATGCTGGCCGCGGCCTGGTCACGTGCGGCGCACCAGAGGCAAAAAGGGGCTCGCCGCTGAGGCCCAGGCGGTCAAGGGGCTGCATGATGCCGGCCTTGTCCGCGACAGTAAAGTGCAGCAGCCTGGGGCGGGGAAGGGTGCGGTACACAAGACCTTAGGGTTGCAAAAGTGATGCAAGGATTAATGCGGTTTTTGCCAGCCTCAGCTGCCCCCTGCGGCATGGATGCGTGCACACCTGTGGCTGGCAACAAGGTCTGCGCATGCCACTCCCTTCACCAGCCAGGGCCGGCCATACTGAAGCCACCCTCTCAATCTCTGCTCATCAACCTGGACCCTAAACAAGCGCACCTGCGCGTGCTGCTGGGTCGCTCTCCCTGCGTCTCGCGGATGCCATCAGCCTCGCCGGCAGCTGTGGGCTCCTCCTCAGCGACAATGATGTCAGCCTTGCGGGCGCGGCTGGAGTCACCGTCCTTGTATTGCGCACCCTGCGCTGCGCGCCTGCCAGAGCCCACTGGCTGCGCTGCCGCTGCGACGTCGTCGTCCTCGGCCACGCCGGCGTTGCCCGCGTTGGCGTCGGCCTTGACGTCAGGGCCGTCAGTGGCCATAGCAATGGTGTTGTCACCAGCAGGGGCAGCAGTGGCGGCGGCCTTCGTCTTCTTGGTGGCCGGCTTCTTGTTCTTGTTCTCTTTGCCGCCCTTGGCGTCGGCCTCGCTGCGATCAGCAGCGGCCTCAGCAGTGCGCTTGGTGCCGGCTGCGATGCAGGCAGGGGTTCCCGAGTGGTATCAAACAAGGCATGGTTCAAGGTCTTCGCCGGTCTAAGAGGAATGAACGATCGAGTCCTTGTGCTGCGGTGCCGCGCTGCTCTGAGTGCCTCGCAAGCTGCACACTGAGACCAAGTAGCCAGCAGAGAGCGCATTGCAGCCATCTACGTGGTGATAGCGCCTGCCGTAGACTACACATTGCGATTCACTCTGCGCCTTGGCTTTGCTGCTGTGCACAAATCATGTCTTTGAAGATATGGATTTCGACCTGCCATCAGCGGGACAGGGGTCCGCTTACCACTGGTCGGAGCATCTTTGTTAAAGTCCGTCATCAGCTTCGCGGCAGCCTTCCAGCTCTTGAGCCGCTCGCCTGCGAAGAGCGCGCCAACTCTCAGATCAGTGACCTGCAGCCATCCCTCGCCAGGCCCACATTACAGTCATCACGAATATGCGTACCTCCAGGAGCGACGTATACCTTGCCGTCCACCTTGCCGCCAAAGGCCTTCCACGCATCCACGTCCATCGCCGCAGTCTGGTCCCTGCCCATACCAGGCAGTGTTTCGCTGCCGAGGAAAACGGATAAAGATTGATGTACAGGGACTATGAATCCGCTCGCAAAGGCGCCCCGCTGCGCAAGATCGGCTCAATTATTGCAGCCTGTGATCTACGAAGACGACACACAGCAAAGACAAGCGTTGAAATGTGTATATCCACTACAAACGTGAGTTAGTTGCCCAACATGGTGAAATCATGCTTGGAACGCCCCAAAAATTTGAAAATGGCCGTCCCCCGCTCTTCGTTCGGCGCAGGCGAGCGCTGCCTTTCCCAATATCTGGCCAGAGCTAATCAATGTGTTTAGTATGCACTTCAACAGGTTCCTGCGCAAATGCGTCTCTAAGCCCCTTTGCATAATCACAGCAGCTTGCGCCCCCCTCGCCCTGGGGTGCGAGGGGTATGATGTTGCCCTGCATGTCGGTACCGTATGGGGCCAATCGCGTGAGCGCAAAGCACGCAGTAATATCAAATTTTGCTTGATTGAACGAAGTCGTTTGCAAGCCTGAGCAGCCATTGTCAGCCCTTAGGGCTGACAGAATTGGCTGCAGGCGGGGCATTAGTGCGCACTTGTGGCAAGTACCAGCTTATCACATAATTGCAAAGGTGATTTTTACACAAAACGTAGTTGCTCAAGTTTATATTGCTCATAGGCCTGACCATTGGGCTGTGAGCACGTTTCAAAATGAGGAGCCAAAACATCACGCCTGCCGTATGCATCGGTACATGCATGTTACCCACCGCGTTCTCATCAGTCATTTCTTCACTGCGGCGGGCTGACTGGACCCAGCAGCCCGCGCCTGGCGCCCGCTTCGCAGTGGAGCCTCTTGTGCACGACAGTCGGTCATAATGATGTGCACCAGGTAAAGTACGTATCTGTCAAGGAGATGCGGCAACTGACGGCGAGAGTGCGTGGCCAGTGACAACTGTTGTCGGCAGGTGTCTGCACAAAATACTAGCAAAGATAACTTGGGATTTGTTGCACAGAAGTTCAGTATGTGAACACCGTCACGGCGTTGCTGCTGCCCTTGTGACCTATATACACAATGTTGCATGGAGGGACGTCAGCGATATTGCCATGCATGCTTGCTTGTACAGTCTTCCCCCGCTACAGCGAACCCCGCCATAGCGAAAACCCTGCCTACAGCGAACGCCGCCGCTACCCCCGATCGCTTGCCACACAAATCCACCCCGCCACAGCGAGTATTCACTACGGCTATAGCGAACGCCAAAGGCCTCTCAAATTCACTATATGCAGGCGCGCTGTGGTCGGCGCCCGTGGGACTGCACGGGGCCCACCCGCCACGTGTGCGCCACGTGCATCCAGGCAGCCACCAGCTCATGCGTACACACCATACCCCCTTTCACTGCAGCATCTGTCACTTCTCATGGAGCTGATTTCTGAGCTTAACGAAATTCGCAGCCTGCTCTATTGGAGGGTCTGGCTGACCAGAGGGCAGTGTCACTGGTGACCTGCGCCGCAGTGACGCTCACACTAGCATGACCCACGTTCAGTTGGCTGCATCACAGTGATCTTCACGTGCTGTTTGCCACAATTGTTAACACGTCAGAGCTCATAATCTGGGCTGAGCCATGTCTACAGAGGCCACCAAGCAGATAAGGCGTCCCTGCTGCAGCGCAAGCTGTGTATCCAGCCGGCAGGGCAGCCTGCGAGGCAGCCTACCACCCCTATGGCCCCATTGTGCTGATTTTGGTAAACAATACTATGTGGCTGCTGGCATACAGTGCAAAGCAGCCCTCAAATGCTGACTTTTGTGACGTCCCCCGCCACAGCGAACCAGCAGCTGCCAAAATTCACTATTCGCGATAGCGAACAAGCCGGCTATAGCGAACGTGCCGCCGACCCCCGATGGGTTCACTGTAATGGGGGAAGATTGTAGTTGCACTCATTGCCAACGCTACAAGCTGGGGCCCTTTTTGGTTTTGCCGCAAAGCAGATCCCATAGATGCGTACTGATGGCTGCGCCCGTTGCAAGTGCTCGGCAGCAGTGTTGGGTGGGCGCGAGTTGGTTGGCAGCCGCTGCGCATGGGATGTGCATGCATGTGTATCTCAACGAGCACTGCTCGTTAGGGTACCAACAGGGGTTAAAGTGGCAGTAGCTAGAGCAGCAGCAGCAGCAGCAGCAGCAGCAGCAGCAGCAGCAGCAGCAGCAGCAGCAGCAGCAGCAGCAGCAGCAGCAGCAGCAGCAGCAGCAGCAGCAGCAGCAGCAGCGGCGGCAGAGGCGCCGGCGGCGGCGACGGCGGCGGCAGCGGCAGCAACGGCAGCCAGGTTGCTGGTCTAGCTGTCCGCCACCCTGCTGGTGAGGTTTGGGTGCTAGAAGTCATGGCAGGGAGGCAGAGGCAGTACACGACAATGCCTCTGTTGTGTCAGGACACAATAGTTGATCAGGAACATCACAATAGCATCCGCCCGACCGGGCAACGCAGTGACAGCCAGGCGCTGCCGCCGCAGCAACAGTGCCCAATTGCTGACAGCATCAAAGACAGGCGCAGCAGCGTCGCATAACCCATTGTGATGAACATGCAAAAGGTTTGCCGAGCGGCAGAGCGCCCTGAAAGCTGAGATTTCACCTGCGCGGCATGCAGCTTCCCATTGTGCGAAGGGGAAGGAAAATTGAGCACGTCACATCAAGCGAGGTGTGCGTGTTTACCGTAACGTAAATTCATTGTGGCTTCGCAATCAACGAACGTGTGTTGGATCAAAAGCTTTGCAGGTCAAACACATCCACGACTAGCTATTAGAGCAGGCTGGAGCCCACGCAGTTGTGCAGCACTCCGCTTTCGTACCATGGAGACGGAACCTATTTACTGTGCTGAGCAGGTTGGGGCAACGTGCGGTGCAGCACAATGCAGGGGTTGAGCTTGCGCATCTGCTGCCGCCCACTGCACTCGCTCCTTGGCTGCACCGAAGCCCCGCTGCAATGCTTTCAGTGCTGAACCTGATGTCTTGTTACTGCAGATTGTGCTTCCGGCGGGCCTGGATGAGGTACTAAAGAATTTTACCAAGGAGGCCATCCGCAACCAACCGCATGACCTGGTGGACTTTGGCGCCACGTGAGCGTTGCTGCAACCAGCCCCCCTTGAGGCGCTGAGCTGCGTGAAGCTGTAGGCTAGATGCATATGTTCAACGCAAAATTATCCACGCTGAAGACGTGCTTGCGTGTGCCACTCTGCCCGCCCCCGCAGCTATTTTGCCGCCCAGGCGACCTTGCACAAGAACCTGCACGCCGTTGAAATTCCTACGCAGCAGCAGCTGAGGGACGCGTTTGAGTGCCTGCGTGCCACACCCACGGGGCCGCTGATTGACGTTCAGGCGGCGTGCCGGTCAGTGGGCATCAGTGAGGCCACAGTGGCAAGTGCAGTGCGGGCCGGCAATGTCAATACGGGCAGGGAGGTGTCGGTACTGGAGGTCCTGGCGCTGCTGCTGAGCATGCGCTGTGACGGCCTGGGCGCCGTGCTGCGCAACGCGTTTGAAGTATTTGGGCAGCGAGGCGGCGACAGCGGGGACACCAGCAGTAATGGCAGCGCCAGCGCACGACTTGAGGTGCCAGTGCTGCTGCAGCTGCTGGGGTTCTTGGGGGCGCGCGACCCCGAGGTGACAACGGCGATGCGCGAGGGCGTGGCGCGTGCCCTTGACGGCCACGTCAGCGTCGACCTCAAGAGCCTCGCGGGTGTGCCGGCGCTGGCGAGCAAGCTGGCCTTAGCATGAGTTGCGACATTAGTTGTTACATGAAACCACTCATGATGTTTGTTGATAGCGTACTGTATTGACAGCAGCCAAAGGGGGTGCGTCGTGGGCACCCAGAGGGGGTTGCCCGCGTGCAAAAATTGTCGATGAAACAGGAACGATTAAGCAACTACATGGGAGCTGCGTAGCCAATATGGCCAGAGACCGTTGAGGTGCGGGCAGTTGCATACACGAGCAAACTGGGAAGCAGACTGCACACGCAAACAGACGGTGATGCGATGCGCGTACGCATGGTCAGGCTGGTGTGGATGTCAAGGGGCAAGCTGCGACGTAAGGTAGGCCCCGTGTGCATCTGAACTAAAGCCTGCGTATGAGCAGGTAAACTGTGCTGTCGACCTCAATGACTTTGAGCTTGGAGGGGTCGCCCACCAACTTCATCAGAAGGCCCCCGAAGCTGAAGTATATCTCCAGCTTGGTGGAACCGCCAGAATGCGTGTCACCGTACTTGAACACCTGCACCCAGCGAGGGGGGAGGGGGACAGGGAGGTAGGGGTCTGGTGGAGCGGGTGTGCCAGCAGCGCCTGAGCCATGCGCCAAATCAAATTTGGTTCTCATGGCAGCTGGGCCCAGCCACGCAAGCAGGGGTAGCCAAGCAATCGCTCGAATTGCTGCACTGTGAGGGCCCACCCTTGCGCGCAAGCCTAGGAGGCAGCGCTGCCAAACCTGTGGCAGCACCTGCCAACCTGATACGCCTAATTTTGTCACCGGCGCTGGCGTCCCATCACCTTGCCGTGCATCACGTAGTCGTAGCTGTCCAGCAGCGTCTCCTTCTTGGAGAAGGTTGGAAACGTCTGCAAGGCGGGCGGGAGGATGTCGCAACATGATCATCCATGATGACCGTTGCTGCTGCAAAGCGGTCCGCAACTGTGCTGCTGCCCGCAACAGCATTCCACTCCCCAAACAATGCCCACACGTTCAGCGCACCACAGGCTGCACCTGCAACCAGCACTTGCTGCCCAATGCTGGTTGCTGCCCAGGTGACCTGACATCGCCACCACATTCAACGCAGGTGGTCCTCACCTTATCGTACTTGCCTGTCTCTGCGGTGCCATCCTTGTGGATGGTGCGCGCCAGGCAGAGGCTGACCTTGTCGCCGACCTAGTGGTGGCACGATAACCGTGAGCACTTCTGCTTGCACATGCATTACCTGCTGTTCATGCATGCACATGCGCAGGACGTGCCGCTAGCCGATTAACCCTGGGCTGCAGGCTGCAGTGAGCGCTGCACTTCGGCAGCATGAAGCAGCAACAGCAGCAGTGCTGCCGCCTACCAATGCGCCAGCACCCACCTGGAGGGGGAAGATGTCGATATTGATGTCGACTGTTGCTTCAAACTCATACAGGTCCGATTTGAGTACGTAGCGGGACACTGCGGCGGGCGCCTCGCGGTGAGACACTGATCCAGGGAGGCCGTCGGGCTTTGAGTGCCTTCTCACCCTTGTCAAACTTCCTGCCATCCGGATCTCTTCGCTGAACATCGAACACGTCTTCAAAGAGCTCGTTGCTGCTCATGTTAGCAAGCGTGATCTGATGTACACCGCAAGGCTGTGCAAGCTGCTATTGCACACAACAACGGACCGATTTGCATCAACGATGAACTTACCATCGGCGGCGAATATGTATACACCGTACTGCAGTGGTGTAGGTACTGTAATGGCGCGGCACCTGCCCATGCTCTTGCGGGCCGGGGTGGCTGCGTGCTTCAATGTGGGCGAGGGCGGGGTTGCATATGAGAGTGGGCGGCCTATGGGGGAATGCCTCAAGTACGAGGGGCCACCCGACCAGCGGCGCGGGCGCGCGTACGCGCTGAGCATGGTGCTGTTGCAGGCCCTCGTGCGCGTGGGGGCAGCGCTATCGTAACGCTGGGACACCTGCAAGCTGGGGCGGCTGGCATGGACGAGTGCGCGGACCCTGGCACCGGCAACTTGTGTAAGCACTCCATGCAACAATTACACCTGCGAACTGCTGTGATCTGCACAGGCAATGCTATGCATCACCAAGTGGTGACTGCAGGGGTCCAGCATTGCGTTTCCTGGCAGTACCATATGTCGACAGATTTGCTGTGCAGCGGGGCAAACATCGGGCTGGGACATCACCAGCCCCCTGCATATCCCTGCAACCATAAAGCAGTATACTCTCCCAACTCATGTGATCACGGTGATCAGTGCATTGGAGGCGAGTGCGTGCGGATGTGGCCTCGCCCTTGTGTTTACATATTTGGGCAAAACAAGGTGTGTGCTGTGTATGGTGTGCCCTATCTTATGCTTCTGCACTGTGCGTTGTTGCAACAAGTTCCCCAGCTTCAATTATTGCATAGGGTTTAGAGTTCAGGGTTTGTATCACAACTCAGGCACGAAGCTGCTGTTGATTGAGATTCTAAGGGCCGCTTTCAGCGGCTCACACCAGAGCCTCCGCACACCTGTGTTCAGCACCACATCCCGTCTACAAACGCCACACATACTCAATCTCTTTCAAATCACAGGTTGTAGGAGCTTGCAATCAATGCAGACTGCTGCAGCTCAACAGGCCGTGCAACCTTGCAACCGCTGCCAACCTTTCACAGCTGCCCAGCTGAGCCGATTTGCCTGCCACCATGCAGACGCAGATTGTTCTGGTGCGGGCCCTTGTGGCCTGCAGTGCAGGTAAGCACACTTGTTTCCTACTGCACTGCAGTCACGCACTGACGTGTGGCGCCCAGTGCATTGAATCACTTCATGACGCACTACAGTGTACACATGCGCCCCGCTGTTCTCAAACCACCCCACTTTCCCTGCCCGCCCGCAGCATTTTGCGCTTCCGGCAACGTGACGCCTGAGAAATTGGAACCAGGTGCTCACCTCAAAATGCATGCCATGCATTGGCCAAGGTTCTCTCCCTGGCGCCCACACTGCCGGAGATGTGGGCAGCAGCAGCCGCCGTGGTCTGATGGAGAGTGCGTGCTGCATTGTATGGGCTGAAAGCGTCACATTCCGGCATGCGTCGACATTCTTGACTACTCTGTGAATGTATGCCCCTTCATGCTCCTGACAACCAACCTGGCACTTTTGGCAGGTTCAAGCTTGGCGGCGTCAAGGTCGAGGCACGTCAAACGAACACCGACAACCCTGCGCTTATCAAGCTGTCCGCGCTGATGCCCAAGCAGCCGATTATCCCCTCTTTTGACGCACCCCGTGCGTTGGGGGTCAAAGGGGGACCTCCAACCAGAATCAATGGAGCATGGGGCGTGTGAAGTGCAAGCAAAGATGCAGCAGCTGCGCGCTGCTGGAGTGCGGTCCAGATGGCCAGTGAGCGCCGCCCCCCTAAAACACACACCATATCTCCTCTGCAGCTGCATCGCCTGTGCAGAATTCAACGCTTTCACGACTCATGCGGAGGTTCAGGGCACCGTGCCCGCCGCTATTGCCGCACTGCGAGTCCCACGTGTTGAGCATGTGACGCTGCCGCAGTTCGTGGCGGGCCTCAAGGCTCGCATCGGCGGAGGGTTATGTCTCGACCCCATGGCCTCCGATGCCACGTCCCAGCAGCGCCTGTGCGCGATGATGCCCAATTCGAACAGTGCTGCGTCCAGTCCCTGACGCACGTGCAACGCGCCAAGGTACAGGTGTTATGCGCGTCATTGGGTGTGCTGCAGTCCCTGGACGTGCAGCTCAACACTGACCTCATCGCCAAGCAGGTACGCATGTGAGCATGGCCCATGGAAAAAGCAGGGCAGTTTATTGTGACGCATCGACTGCCTTGCTGTCCAGCTGTGGTGGGCGTGCCGGATGTCAAGCAAGGCATTGCAGCAGCTGCAGATTGCTCAAAAGCAGTCTGCTGTGTTGCTTGCCGAAGGCATGAGACCATGCGCCTGATCATATCCTACTTCTTACCCCTCTTCTAGGCGTCCTGCCAGGCGGTCAACGGCAATTTCCTGTGCAACCTGGCTGCCGCCCTGGACCAGGACATCAAGGCTGGGGACAGCAGCATCACCAGCGGTGCCTACGCGGCCTAGGACATCAGCCTCCTTGACAAGCTGCGCGACTTTGTCAGCGGCAGGTCCGAGGCCAGCTCAAGGTGTAGGATGCAGGCCGGAACACAGCTGCCTAAGTTGGTGGCAACCCGCATCATCACACTGTGCTGCTGCTTGCACCTGCGCCAGTCAAGTTGGCCGGAAGTGGGTTCAGCAACGACCGAGGCAATTCAACGCAAGGGCCCCATCAAGGTTCACACATCTGTGTTTCTTGCCCACCGTTTCCTTACGGTGTGCAGAGCTAGGGTGCTCACACAACTAGATATGTATGCTCAGCGCACTGCAATCCGACCCAGGCATGCGCATTTTTCTGCGCACGGCTGCACACGCTTCTTGTACAAGCGTGCATCAGTGACAACATGCAATGCAACAGTATCGCTATAGATGCCAACGTGCGCCACAGGTTGTTCCTTCCTTGGCTGCGCTGCCCACGCGCTCCACTCCTTGTCTTTGGAAGGTCTACCTCAACGCTGCACACCTACTATGGGGCCTGGTCAGCATATTTGCTTGAGTCTCTCTGCTTGAGTCATTGCAAGAATGCCATGCCTTTTACGTGTAAGCAGTCTCTTTCCGCATTACTTGCCCCCATGGACGAGCTTAGACGATCCTACTGAGCTGGTGCTGAAATCAGGGGTAGTTGGGCAAGGCAGGTAGGGTTGGTGGGTGCACCCCCTTGCAGGCATGCTGACGTCACAAGCTCACTCTGTCGTGGCCGGGAGTCACTAGTGACATCGTAGCAGAGATACCATGCTGGGTCAAGCCGTGCACACCTCTCAAACCCTGAACCCTAAACCCTTGCCACCTGCTTGCGTGCTGTGGCACCAGCTGGCACCAGCTGGCACCAGCTGGCACCAGCTGGCACCAGCTGGCACCAGCAGGCACCAGCCCGCTTTCAAGTGCACGTGCTTTTAAGTGCACGTGGGATCCAGCCAGCTGTAGAAGCCCTTGAGTGATGAGTGACTGGTGGTGATGTCACCTTCAAGTGACTCATTACTCATCATGACGTCATCTCACAAAACAGTGAGGTGCCTCAGACATACAGCTGTGTGCTCAGTGGTTGCTGCAGCACTGGGCTGCAGTGCCCAGCTTCCTTGCACTGCCTCCTTGGTCACTGCACTCGCCCTGATGGCGTCATCACGACTCCTGGTGACCGTAAACACACCTGGGCGACACACCACGTGGTGTCACCAGCTGGGCACCCACCCCTTGGCTGCCTTGCTCTGGCTGCTGACTCCATCCAGGGTTTAGGGTTCAGGGTTCAGGGTATAGGGTTTAACTTTCGAGGTTTAGATGTTGTCTCCTAAACCCTAAACCCCTTGGCTGCCTTGCTCTGGCTGCTGACTCCATCCAGGGTTTAGGGTTTAGGGTTCAGGGTTCAGCTTTCGAGGTTTAGATGTTGGCTCCTAAACCCTAAACCCTAAACCACAGGTGTACGTCCGTGCATGACTGGAGGGTTTAGGGTTTAGGGTTTAGGGTTTAGGG